TCGACCATGAATTAGACTCAGATTTCCGGAGAGTACACTATAGACATTCTTTGTGCGATACCTGTGAATCTGCCTTTATTAATTATGTGCACTTAGTATTTTTGTAGCGGAGATTTCATATATCGTACAATTTACCATCAACTTTTTGCAGGGGGGTTTAAGGGAACTTTCCAAGAGAAGCCATGATATCAAACGAATTGAACAGGTGTGTTCCATGTCTAAGTACATTATATCAAACGACTTGGTATTGCTACGCTTAGAATGATTATCTCATTATCTCTTAGATTGATTATATCATCATCTCTTCTCAATTGTGTGCCCTTCCCTTCTTTTATGTATTTAAAAAAACAGGGTGGTGAACCTGATACTAAAGATTTGGAAAGCGTAACTGCCATCGATGCACATAACAATCTTGTTCCCTTCTCTAATGGTGATAACTCGGCTTTAGTTGCCGAAAACTAGGTTTCGTTAAAATGCCAAAGTTGTCTCTATGGCATATCATTCAAGTAGGCTTTCCCGGAATGTTCATTCGGCTTGTCCGATCTTATGTACAGTTATAATAGTACCGTGATCCATACACGAAATCATGTATTTTTTTCTCCATTTTTGCTTTTGTTTGTTGAGTTTTGGTACCGACTGTGTGCTTGACACCAGCTGAGAGGATGTAAAACGTAACTAAACCATTTCACCATTCAGTATTTTCATATTATTATGCATTCAGCACAGATCATTAATGTTTAACTGCTTACATGATGCTAAGGGGCCTTTTGAAAGTGGGACTCCATGGGTTCTGTCACATCACAGTTCATCGTTAATTCACGTGTTAGTATTTTAAACATTGTGCTAAAAATGAGTTGGCAAAGAGTCTATGAAGAGAGTTACTTTTGAAAGAGTTGTCGTAACATTTCTCTAATGTCAAAGGTTTAAGGCAATGTACGCTTGAAAATTGATCAGCCAACTACCGTATAGTGATTGTCTATGGCAGAAAGTAATTAAACAATGAAGGGTATATTTTGGATAAAGGAGGAGGAGTAGTACGTTAGGTAGTCGACTCTTGTATTTAAAAAATAGAGTGCTGGTTGTCGACTACTTGATGCACTCTCTTCTCAACCATTTAATACTACAGTGTAGTGTTGTTCCTCTTCACTTGTAAGTGAGAGGTCTTAGGTTCAAATTTCGTAAGATGGTGAGTTCAATATCAATTTATTGTTCCTCTTCACTTGTAAGTGAGAGGTCTTAGGTTCAAATTTCGTAAGATGGTGAGTTCAATATCAATTTATTCTCCGGTTCAGTGTAAATATATTTATTTGAATAAAAAATCTCCTGGCTTTCGTGGAACTGTGATAAAGAACATTTGCCCTCTAGGGTTGGGAATGTAGTATTGAGGCCCGGGACATCAGGTGGAAGGCCCACATGTTCTTCTTCTGTAGATGCGACGGCTTCAATTCGTGGTGGTGAGAGTTTTAAGGTTATGGATACATTTATGAGTTTTGGTTGTTTATGGTTGTGTGGGCTCGGATATGGTTATGAAAGATTTTGACTGTCGTTGGTTTTTAAGTTGTTTGTGCGGATCTTGTTCTCTTTAGTTTAGTCATTTGGGATTTGCTACTTTTGCAGTCACGGTTATATTCATCTTTTGTGCACGTATACTTAAAGTCGTTTTAATGAATATCGTTACTTTTTAATTAAAATTATATAAGCTGATTAGTATAGAAATATATAATTATATCAAAAACTTGAAATTCATTTTTAATATAGGAAACTTGGCATGAGACAAAACGATAGCGGTTTTTTATTATACTATTAAGAACTCATACAAATATTAAAGAGGATATTTGAGATAACATCGAAAAGGTCCTCAATCCAAAGAAACCTTAACAAAACATAAAAGGACAACTTGTCAAACAATTTGCCACCATACTGGTGAATTTGAAGGTGAGACAGGCCTAAGAATAAGCAAAAAAACGCATCCAAGTTTTAAAATCATTCACGCTCAAAATTAGAGGATTGAGATGACACTCAAATCCACCGGAGTCTTTGTACCTTCGACTAAGCATAGATCAACAAAGTCTATAAAAAATATTTGTATAACTTTTCTTCCATTCGAGAAATATTCTAAGTAATTAAATAATGGAAAGGGAGATTTGAACTTGAGTCAACGAAGGGGACATATTACCCCTTCTAGACTCATGACGGTGAATGAATTGTTTAATTAAGATATATTAGTCATTGGTAGTGATTTTACTCTCGATTTTTACATTTCAGGTTTCGTGTTAGAACACTGTGTCAAAAAATTTATATAAAATGTAGTTTTTTTTTTTTTTTTTTGGGTGACATTATTTGATCATGCAAAAGTTATCGGAGCCACATTTTTTGTATCATCGTCTAAACACCATCTTTAAAAAAAAGTTAGTCAAATTGAAGATCGTTTAGTCATCACTGTGTGTTTAAAAAATCAATGATTGTGATAACAAATATCATCATTTTGATGAACGATCAATTTGTTTAATTCACATATATAACTAAACACCTCAAAAAGAAAATTTTTATCCGAACCCATCTTTACTTTCTGCTTCCATATTTTATTTGGTATAGTTATCATTATCTCCTAACACACAACTTTATTTCCTAGATTACCCTCACTTGTGAGTAAAACCCAACTCTTGTTTAAACTTCTCTTCAGTTTCACTCCTTACACACATCTCTTAATTTTCGATTGTTGAATCAAATGAATAAAAGAAGAACAATGACCAAAAAATTAACAAGGGCATAACAAGATCAATTAAAGTATATGCTTGAACATGCTAAAAATCACTAACGGGTTTGAACCCACACCATCATGTAAGAGCTCAACACTTTCCACCGTGGTAAATGGTCAATTGCCCCAATGTTGTAGTTGGCTATTTGATTAAAAAAAAAAAAAAAAAAGGGTCGTACAGGGTTCTAATAAGCATATTAAACGAGAGGTTACTGAAATTTTAATTTCGGCTTGAAACTTAACGGGCTTCAACACAAGGATTTAATTCCTAAATATTTTACCACGGGAGCTATTTTTTGATTAACTTATCACCGCGAAAACTATTAATCTAATTTGGCCTAATATAAAATGATTGATTTTTTACTCTAATGCATTAGAAAAGTTATAGTCATGGATTCTGCATTTGACTCAAATATTCATATATGAATATGCATTTGACATTAAACGCTATAATTGACTCTTATTTGATGCGCACTAGAGATGATATAACATTTAGAGTCAAATTTAACTTATAACTATTAGGTTAGAAATAGCCTAACCTTTGCAATTGAAGGATATTTGTCTTGAAAATTAGTAAAGCCCTTCTAAAATGGAACAAATGTGTGTGAATTATTTGTTAATTTTGTAATTTTTTGCTCAACAACTATATTTTCCGAAAAGTATGTGGACCAATCATAGTGGCAAGTACAACATCATCCATTTTGGATCAAATGGCCATGACTGTTATTGCCAACCTGGACCCAAATATCCCATATTCCATCCCATTGAGTTTCTTAGTCCATTCCATAAATTGACAAAACAGAGTCCCAACTTTCCCAGGGATTTTGTAGTGTATCAGAATACAGACGTATACGTAGAAAGATTAAACTTATAAACAAAATTTTATAAACCAAATGATATGAAATTGATGATTGGATTATTACTTAACTGTTTATAAACGTGCTTATTTTCTATTAGTAACACATAATTTAGTTTGTAAATTTTGTCTACAGATTTATGCTCTCTAACATTACTCTTATAAAAGTGGAGGTACACTTGAAAAAAAAAATTTCTTTTATTTGTATAATAACATATGACGCACTATTCAGCTTTCTGAGCAATTTTTTAGTGTGTACGGACCATTGGACAAAACACCACATGACATTATACAATTAGAGAAAATTTTTTTTCAAGTGTCCCTCTAATTATATAATAACATATAATATTTCGCTCCGTATTTTAAGCACATTAAAAAAATCTCCGACGCATTCTGAGCACATTGAGAAATCTCTCGCACTTTCCAATTTTCCCAAACACCAGACCATTTTGCAAACCTATTAACCTCCTCCCTTGTACAGTAATTTTCCATCACACGCCTGCAATCACTACCAGCCTACCACCGGCCGTTGGATTACATTCCCAACACCTACCCAGTGCCTCTGGGTCCCGCCCGCCACCAGAAAACACACGCATGTGACCGTGGACCCCACCCCGTCCCTATCCAAGCAATCCAAATCGCCCACGAAACCCCGCGCAATCTTATACATGCTCCGCGCAACACTGGGTACTACCCTACACGGAGATAAATATAAACAAAAGGATACTACCAAGTCACTATTGTTACGAGACAATATTTTATCATATAAATGTTATAATTATTTGAAAATATATATAAATCGGCCCTTGGATTTATTTGATACTTAGATGACTAATCCCACATTCATCTAGTTTGAGAATCATTTAGTCATTAAGTATTGCGTAAATTATCCATGATCAACTCTTAATTTATTTATGTATGATTTTTTTATTAAAATAATTGTTAAACGATTATAAAAAGAATAAGAATATAAAGTAAGAAGATTTTACGTTGTCATATAACAAAAATTAATTATACACATTAGCATTGTTTGGTACGTTTGTACTAATTATTTTAATAGGATGTATAAATACGGACCAAACAAATTTTTTTTTTGGAAATAAACTATATTATCTACACTAAAAGAGAAATAATGAGCTTAACCTCATAATGGATTAACATAATACGGTTCAAACTCGTTTTTAGCACGAATCAAACCTAAGACCTCTCATTTATAAATGAAAATAAATATAACTAAACCGTAATATTAAATGGTGACTAAACAAAAATTGTAAAAGAGAAAATAAAAGTAGGAAAATATGATTTTTTTTTTTTTTTTTTTTGAATATTTTTTGTATGGGAAAATTAAATTATTACCCAATTTGCGATTCTCAAATCTTAGCTATTTATGGAGGTTACCTTTTTTTTTTTTTCTCATTGATTTTTGGAAGCTTCTTCATCGTCGAGCTCAGAAATTTCAGCTTGATTAGCTTAAAGTAGTAGGGTTTAGGGTTAGGGTTTGTTCCAGAAAATTTTTACAGTTTTTCCTTGCGACGGAGGCGAAGGGTTTTCCGTGGGAACGGGTTTAGGGTTTTGAATTGGGAGAAGGTGGTGGGGGTGAGGGTTAGGGTTTGGTGAAGGGAATATTGGATGGCGGCCGTCAATCCACAGCCTCTGCAAGCTCGATCAATCGAGGAGCACGGGAGGGCTCCAATACAGGTAGAAGACGATGACGGTGATTACGAAGATGGTGGTGATGATGGTATGGAGGACATGGAAGAGGTGCATGTGAACTCCGTCAGCGTTGAGAAGCGAGGAGGAGGTGGGGGTGGAGGTGGAGGAGGAGGTGTGGTTATGGCTTACAGGACCAGTGAGCTCACTCTGTCTTTTGAAGGCGAGGTGTATGTCTTCCCTGCTGTTACACCTGAGAAGGTTCTCTCTCATTTGGTTTGAGTATTCTTTTATTGTAGTAAGAACCATTTTTTCTTTCTTCCCAAATATTCGTGTTGTTCTTCCGCGATTGTGCTGTGCTGTGCTGTGCTGAACTTTGAGTAATTGAGTTTTTGTATTTTTTTTCCTTGTAATTGTGAAGATTTAAATGCGATAATGTTCCAACTAAAAGCTGAAAAAAGAAGGAGAAATTTTAATTGAGTTGGGAAAGGAGGACGAGCTTATGGGACTTGAAGTTTTTATGTTTATGATAAAGTTTAAATTTGATTACGATTCGGTTCCTCACTTATCGTTTTTCTTTAGGTTGAAGACCCTTAGAATAGTTGAGCTGCTTTATTTATCAAATTGGTATTTTGGGTATGAAATGAATATGGTAATTATCATGTTCATGGATTCCCCTGTAACTCAGTGTTTATACAGATGTACTGGAAGGGAACAAAAGTATGCTGTCATGAGTTGTAAATCAATATGGAGCTAAAAGTTATTGACAGAAAAATATACGATAATACGTGATAATTCTTTGACTAGTTGAATCCAAGACAATCTTTATCTACTTCTGTTCTCTCTAAGTTGGCCTGTTAAATTTTTCAGTCATCCGTTTACTAAATTTACAATAAAATGAGTTTGCTGGTTTTGATTATACCCATTTTTAAAGAAGGCTTATAATTAGGATTCCATATAACAGGTGCAAGCAGTGCTCTTGCTGTTGGGAGGACGTGATATACCAACTGGCGTGCCCACTGTTGAAGTGTCTTCTGATCAGAATACAAGGGTAATTCATATGTTGACATTAATGAGACCAATTCCAATGCATCCTCTGTGCTTATGTTCACGTGTTGCCTTCCACAATCTCTAGGGTGTGGGTGGCACTTCAAAGCGTTCAAATCTTTCGCGAAGAATAGCTTCCCTGGTTAGGTTTCGTGAAAAACGGAAGGAGAGATGTTTTGACAAGAAAATTAGGTACACTGTGCGTAAAGAGGTTGCACAGAGGTAAGACGAACTGATGACCCTTCTTTCTTTCAGTTCCTTTTTCTTGTTATAGTGCTTTTGGGTTCAACTAATTTGAAACTTTCGTAGGGGATGAGGGATTTGTGTTTCAAAGAGAATCATTTATTGTGTAATCATAAATTATGATATTATGTTGGTAATGCCTAGTAAATTATGATACTTTCTGCCTATATTTCAGTTGCATCAACTGCTCTTACATTCCGAATGCATTTGATCTTTACTTAGTTACTTGAAATCATTGATATGTGTATCTTTCCATTACGGCATTCTCTTGATGTTCTGTCTTCTTCGAGATGGTTCCTGAACATAATGGATATTTATGCACTGAATAATAGCCTAACTATTAATGGTGCGACCATATGCTCTCAATCCTAAATGGTAGTGGGCCCTCCGTAAATGAAGCTGTATATTCAAATAGTAAGCCAAGGGTCTGAGACAACTGTAACCAAGGCTTCCTGCCTAACACTTGTGACTTCGCTCCCAATTTGGTGTGACGAGAAATACACACATTTTTCGGTTCTTCTTGACATCTCTGTTTAAGCATCTAGTTGCAGTTCATCTCAATTCTAGGGTAATTTGTGCTTTTTCTTGAGGAGTGTAGATCTGATTATGCTGGTTTTTATGTTAGTTATGTATTCATAATTTGTGTGCGGTAACATGACAAATGTCAAATGGGAAGATATGGATATTCATCGTTATTTGTGCACTTGTTCACAAGTCCGTAATATCATTTTTTATATCTTCCATGCACCTATGGTGTTAATGATGAATGATTCTTTCTGTTTTTGTTAATTTTTGCTAGGATGCTTCGTAAGAATGGACAGTTTGCATCGTTAAAACAAACTTCAGGTGCTTCTAGTTGGGAGTCGACTCAGAGTTGCCTTCAAGATGGCACTCCTCAACCAGAAACTGTGTGAGTTCCAAGCTAATTCTATTCTACCGCGTTTGAATGATGTGTACTTGTAATTGAAGTTTTCCATTTGATAATGTTGTGTTCAACGCTTTGTCCTGTTTCTGCTGTGTTTTTTCAGCTTACGGAGATGTCAACATTGTGGAGTTAGTGAAAATAATACTCCTGCAATGCGCCGTGGACCTGCTGGCCCAAGAACTTTATGTAATGCATGTGGTCTTATGTGGGCAAATAAGGTTGGTTTATTCTGCTTTTTATGTAATGTAAAAATATTAAATTTTTGACATAAACATAATACCACAGACCCTCGTTCTCTCACTCTTTATGTATCTCGAATAGATCCTTATTGTCATCATTATTTTTTTACAGGACTTTTTTGTCGTTATTGCTATGGTCACCAATGTCTGTTACTGTCTCATTAAGTAACTTTCATTTTCTTCACCAGTTTATTGATTGTACAGGGAACATTGAGAGATCTCAGCAAAAGTGGAAGGAACCTTACCGTCGACCATATAGAACCTGTATGTGCAACATTTGAGAAAGAGAATATGCATTTTTTTTATTTTAGAAGTAGATTTAATTTTCAAGTGTTTAATCAATGTTTTCTTTATTCTCCCTTATGCTGTAATTTGGCTGGTAGTTCATAAAATGTAATCTAGCCTCTTTACACTGTTTACCCCAAGTGTTCCAATCCAAATGATCAATCTTTGCAGTAACAAAACTGATCTTTGCAGGGGATGCCGATTGAAGCCAAGCCCGTAATTGTTGAGGAAGAAATCTCCAGAAACCAGGATGAGCATGTATGATTTTTCTCGCCTATTACTATTACCTCCTACATGAACTGCTAACCTCATTCTGTATATGCCTAATAATCATGGTGTATGCAGGGTACTCTTGGTGGTCTTTTAAAAAAAGTTGATGAAGGATCCAATGATGCTTCTGTCAACCCGGATGAGGAAGTATGTTTTGCATTTAAGGTTCTAGATCTTCAACGTTTATTTCTATATTTTTTGTCATGTAATGTTAAAAGTTAACTACCAGTTGGAAATTCTTTTGTTGACGAACATGGGCAACCTTGGACCACAAATATTTAAACCATTTTCTTAGCATTCGGATTTTCGTAGTGCACTCTTCAGTTAGACTTGAAGATACCAATGAGTTCGGTGGAAATTTTCATAAATGTCTCCGTATATTGAATACTAAGTTACCATCCCTCATCCATGCTGCAGGATTCGCAGGAAACTGCGGAAGATCTTACTAACAGTTTTCCAATGGGGATTGTTTCTCCAGCCAATGATGAGCAGGTATGATAATATGGATATGTTCCAATCTGAGCTAATATTAATATTCCGCAAAACAATCAAGAAGAGAACACTATGGTCCAACGAAATTGAACATCATATCCCTAAATGTATTTTGGTCCTGGTCAATCTGTCACTCCAGATAAAAATGTGGCCTCTTTGAAGTGCAATATCTCATGTTGAAGTTTTGGTGTCCACAGGAGCCGCTGGCTGAGCTTGCAAATCCGTCGGATACAGATATAGACATCACTACTAATTTTGATTAGAAGGTGAGGATTTGTTAGCCAATTGATGTCAGGAACTGTGGGTGGCAGTTGGGCCATGCCGCATTAGTTTCTCTCGTGACCTTGTGCAACATATAGATGAAAGTTATTGAACTTCTTAAGGACAGTCATTTAGGGACTTTACGAGTTAATCTGCAGTGAACCCCGGGATCTTCTGATTGGAACGATCTTATGAATGGAGGCGCTTTGCTACTTTCAGATAACAATAGATGAACCGGTGATGGTTAACGACTTGTTTACATATGATCTTCTGTACAAGAGTTGTTAGGAGAGATGTGGTTGAGAGTGTCAATCATTATCTAATATTATTTGTAATTTATTTAGGTTTGTTTAGATCATCAGATAAACTTACAGCCAACTGATGATGATTGGTATCAGATAAACTTATACCCGAATTGAGTGTTAAATGGTATCATACTAATAACGTATTATAATCCGCATTACAAGTGCTGCGTAGATGTCATTTATACAACACCGGAATCATTCCCGCAAGCTATACCATGTAAGGCGACGTTATAATAACCATGAAACGCTTTGAAAGAACTCTAACACGCGTTTTTGCGATGCAATTCATTCTTCGCGTCCAACTTTACACACGCACAGAGAGAGAGAGAGAGAGAGAGAGATTGTGCATTCATTTATTTAAAAACATATTTATAGAAATACACCTAGAGCTCTTTAAAATGTAGGAGCCTTGTGTTTTCTTCAACTCAACTTACAAAACTACACAACCAGCCGGTTGAGGCAAAAGGAATTACATACTCCTGAGGCCAACAAAATTGAGGTGTGAGAGATGGCTTCAGCCCGCATTGCTCGAAGTTAATCATCTCCGGATGCACAAATGCATGGTCTAAAAGTGATTCCAAGGGACGCATCAATCTTCCACACGTGTCCTTGGACGATGAACATAGTACCTGAAATCCTTCTTTCTATACCATGAGTTGCCACCCGAGTAAAAGAAACTATATTTGTCTCATTTGTGCTCCCCGTCTCAACTGGGGACGAAGTGAGACCCATCCTGTACCCTCCCAAAGCCGGCTTCAAGGAACCTCTTTGGAAGGCAGGGCGGGACAGCCCACAACCAAGGGAGCAGTTCCGTCGAGAATCCTTAAAGCTGTCACCTGCACAAGCTGGGACTTGTCCCTCACTGAGACTCTCCCTTCTCTCTCTATATTCCTACTAAATTGCATTTTCATCCTAAGTTAAAACATTTTAAACTGGAAAGATTGGCAGGCATGTAACAAAATTTCATTCGTATGGAATGCTCATGGGGTTCGTACAATTACTAACAAGTTCTGTTCGGGGGAATATCGGCCACCTACGAATACAATACAACCAAAACAAATCTCAAAAGTTTCATCACTCACTCATGTCCTCAATTCCTTCAAAATCACTAACACCATCAAGGGCAACATCAGATTCCTCTTCCTCTTCGTTCTCTTGATCGGTTTCCATGGCTTCCTCAGATCCCTCTCCATCACTTGTATCAGACTCATAAATAAATGGAGTGATTGTCTCGTTCTCGTCAACATCATCAATTACCTGTTCAAAAAGCTTGCATTAAATAGGTATTGAAGAATATTTCACTTGCCATAAATTTCACTAACACCGGCACCCTTACCCCTGTATAATGCACGTCTAAGACACTCGATAGCTGAAGAGCCGACTGAAAAGTTGAAACTCTGGACTCAATGAGCTGCATAGTCAATAAAAAAATTCAATGAAAGGAAAAGAACTACCAGGATTTCTTACGACAAAGAGATAAAACACTCCATACTTGCAACTATCTCTTAAACAAATGAGGAAATGAAAATTCCAAAAACTAACTAGTGATACAATACAAGCAGCGCATAAACATGTTGCTCCCGCAGGTTTAAATTTTATGAGTGATTCTAAAATTCTAGATGGCTTTTTGTTGAATGAAACTTTTACTTTGGGATACAGGATATCATCTTATATTAAAAGTTTCTTACCTGATATAAGGAGTTCAAGGCACTCAAAGAAGATTCTTGGGATACTATACCACTTGCGTGTTGAAGAAGCAAACTTCTAAGCCATGGAAGTGCGCATGCCAAAATTGCACCCCTGGAGTAAAAATAAAGCATACAAATCCATTAGGTATACCATGAGAGCATCCAGCACATAAAGCATACCTCTAGATATCTTACCTCGATTGAATGATAGAAATGAGAGATTGTAAGAGCTTCAAAAAACCAGATGGATTCAACTCTGAGATGGACTTTGCAATGACCTAAACCACCAGTTGTATCATCCACATTAACACTTATCTTCATGCATAAGTATTATATAACCAATATGAACTACGACAGCTACTACCTTCTCATCTTGGATGTATAAGCAATCTAATAAAAGGGCACGGTCATCGGCATGTAGTGCTTGCTTGAGTAAAATATGAACCGAGTCTGCACTTGGAGGCTTTGGATCCAGAGAAGATTCTTCTTTATCATGGCTCTCTGGTCTATCATTGTCTAATAAATTTAAACTTCCAAGAATTTCACCCATGGTTGGTTCATTCAAGTCATCATCAACAAGAACTCCATCTGCAGCCTCCCCATGACCTAGAAGAATTAGGGTACACGTATCAACATACCAAATGCTCAAGACTTGTATTTTATTCACAAACCACTGTTTTTCTAACTAAATTAAATAATTTGAAACAACTATGAAAGCATGTAATCAAATAATTATGCTATTATAATTTGAATTTCAATAGTACACAAATAGGAGTATCCTTTCGTATTTCTACTTTGTTTTATCCCCATCTTGAATGGGATGCGGTTGAGGACAGAAACAGTATTTCCAAATCTCAAAGTGTGCTTCTTGTTCTGTCTCAATCAGAGGAAAGTCTTACCAATTTCAAGGATGTCTTTGACAGTTGGAGGATTCGAATCCGGTGCTGCAGCACGCTTCTTACTGCCCTTTTTAGACTTGATTGGCAGATCTTCTGGTTCTAATTTCAAATCATGAACATCGGTGAGAAATCGTACAAAGTTTGAGTTAGAATCTATTGAACAGATAATTACTCGAGAAGTGCTTCCATAGTAGCTGATAATCATCACACAAAACAAAATTAACTTTGAAATCATTCAGAGTTTATCATCCTACGTACTAAACATTCAATCAAATAACCCTTTAATAACAAGTACATTAACAGATACACGGGAAAAAGAAACACTTGTTCAGCTGCTTAAAAAAGAGCAGTTCCAATGAAAAAGTTGTGATTTTTGACGCCACCCAACTACGCATATCTCCGAAGCTTACTTAAACATTCAGATATATGTGATGGTATAAATTTCCCAAAACTAAACAAAAAACATGAATTAATAATTTGAGTTTAGACTTTTATGGTTGGTTCATTCATTCAAAACACCGTTAACAAAGACATCATTTGCAGCCTCCCCAGAAGCTAGATGGATTAGGGTACATGTATCCGCAAACCAAATGCTCAAATATCTCAGATGGAGTTCCTAGTTCAGTGTCATGTACAAGAACATTACCAGTTTCAACCATGCCATTATCTTTAACCATGTCTTTTGCACGTGCCTTGCTTCCATTTTTACTCTTCATTGCCGGAGCTTCAGCTTCTAATTCTAATCCCAAATCACGAAATTACCAAGTTTTGGTTAGAATCTCTAAACACAGAATTATTCAACATTAGCTCACAAACACCACACGAAAGAAAACAAACTGATTCCGAGGGTTTCGAATTAAAAACCCTAACCTGATGAAGGAGAAGGAGAACAACAGGGGCGTGCTGTGGTGGCGTGGCGGTGGCCTTGCTGGACAGTGGCGTGCTGTTGGTGGCCTGAACAAGGAAAACAACGATGTTGGTGGGTTCAGTGAACGGAGAATTTGAGAGAGAGTGAGTGAAAGTCGGAGGGGAGGGAGGCGGAGATAAATATACCGAAACCCTAAAACCCTTAATCACTCATTCAGTGTAAAAGGGTCTACTGCAAGATGATAGAACCTACCTCATCACCAAGTTTTTCTAAAGCCCAATTATATTAAATCACAAATTTGAAGCAGATTTTGACATGCAATAGGTCAATAAGTTAGAAATCGTTCAGACTAACCTTGATGGCGGGCGTCGGAGGAATCGTCCAAATACAGTCGAAAACCTTGAATCCGAACAAAGCTCCTAGGTTATAGCGAGATGCTGTTGTTGTGAAATTCAACGTGCAAAGGGTGAAGGAGAAGAATTTCAATTTGAAAGATAGCAGAGTGGCTGCTCTGCTTGGTAAGGAGAAGTCGGCGAGTCGCAGAAGATTTTCTAGCTCCTCGTACAAAAACCGAAACCTACCGGGCCGGTTTCGGTGCCCTTCTGTTTTCGATTCAACCCGCACCTAATTTTGGGCCTGCTTTTATTTACTAGTATGCGGTCAACATTAAATCACAAATGGGCCTAGAAGAAAAAAATTATTTTACTTCTATTGTTGACCCCTGATCGGGCTTGGTCTATGGAATTAACTTATTGACCTGTAGTCCACTTTTTATAAATTACGATCCAAAATTTTAGGGTAAATTACATTTTACCACCTTAGGTTTGAGATCTATTGCAATCTCATAAAATATCTTCAAAACATTTCATTTTCATACCTCAAGTACTATTTTATTTTAATATAATAAATCTGTTACATTTTCCATCCATTGATCTGTTAGGAGCTGACGTTTCTGCCACATTTGTACCACGTGGCTGCCAAATAAAAAATATTTTTTTATTTAATTTAAAAAAAAAAAAAAAAGAAAGAAGAAAAACTGAAATCCTAGAACCCCACCCCACCTCCCCCACCTCCCCCATAACCCCCCCACCCATTTTCTTTCTACATCATCACCCAGCCCATACAACTAGCCATCCCTTCTATTTGCATCACCATCATAAAAGTTGAAATTTACATAACCAATTTGAATCCAAATATGATTCCCAAATCTTGACACACGACATGGCATGGATTGACGCCTTCGACATTGGCGGCTGACCATCCTTGCCACCTAGCCCGTGCAGCAGCAAGTCCAGTTCCGAATGCCCTTCATTCACCACCACGTGTTGATGAGGTCGATTGCTTCCCGCGGGTTTCGTCTTTCCAAATTTTCTCCATCTGGGTCTTCCGGTCGTGTTGCGGTAGAGGCGGCTACACCTAAGACTAGGGGCACGATCATAGAGAGCTCTCGATCTTGACCCTTCCTCATGAGTCCGTCGAAAAAGAAAGCTAATTCATACACAAACTCAGCTTCCGGTCCAAGAAATTTTCTTGGTTTTTTTTTTTTTTTTTCCCGGATTGAGAGCAAAAACTGAGGAAATATATTAGGAGATTTGGGCAAGACAAATAATCAGAAGAAATTTAGAAAATTTGGGAATGGGGTTTAGGGATTAGGAGGAGGATGATTGACATGGAGGTTGTATGGTAGACCTGTAAACGGGTCGGGTTCAACCCGCCTCGTTAAGCTAACGGGTCATCCAAATCCAACCCGTTAAGCTAATGGGTCATCCGTTTCACCCGTTAACATTTCTTTTTTAATATTTCATCCAAATTTCGTTATCATGTACTGTAATAATGTTGTATTGCAGTATTGTGCACACCGTTGAGTTGAAGAAAACGCCGGAGTGGAAAAAGATGAGGGCACGCCGGAGTAAGAGAAGAAGTCGTCGAGTATCCCGTATTGTGCACGCCGTCGAGTTGAAGAAGACGCCGGAGTGGAAGAAGATGAGGCACGCAGATGACTCAGAGGGAAAATATGAGGGCACGCCAGAGTAGAAGAAGACACTGGAAAAAGTGGTAATTTCTGAGGAAGAAGATGAGGGAGAACTTTTCAGAGACGGCATGCTTGTACTGCAATAGTGCAATGCGAGACAGAGGGAGGGCTTCATTATTGACTATTGAAATTACACAAAATTCCTCAATAACGGGTGTTAATGGGTGGTTAATGGGTTTCGCGAGTTCACCCAAAATGACCCGTTAACCACCCAACCCTTTAAACACTCACCCCGAATACTTATTTTAATGGGTTGGGTCGGGTTGGATTAATGGGTCGGGTTTGAAATGCCAGGTCTACACACATATATGTCTCACAATTTTAGGATGTCTTTTTGTTTTTTGCTAAAGAATCCCTATTTTCTTTTTAAATTCAACTATTAATTACAATTTTTTAGCATCAAAATGTATATTCACTTTCCCTAAATGAAGAAGTACATAGTGAAGCAAATATTGAGAATGAGAGAATGATATGCGATGACTGATGAGATATCAAAAGTCTACTTTCACTTGTGCTGGTTTTGTTCTTGATTTTGTAAATTTAAATACGAAATTTAATGAATTATGTGATGCCAACTGTATATTGATGATTAAACTAATTTTTTGCTAGTACTAAAATTTTAACCTCATTGTCACTCTTAGCCTCACTCACACTTTCAAAGTTTCTTTATGCACCAATGTCGTCATGCACTCTTAGGCTTAAGCCTCAAGTAATGATGGGGCAACACCAACCAAAAAATCAAATGAGTTAAGAGTCCAAATTGAACATAACCAATCAAACCGAAAAGGTGTGATATCAAAGCATATATTTAACTCGATTTAGAGGAGAATTGTGTTCATAAAGAAATGTAATATGAGAATAAGATATAGAGGTACGATTATATGCTTGGAACAATTTTTTATCCTATATGTGCATAGAATCATGGAAATTTATGTATATGGACATTCGTCACTTATCATCTTTCAGACAATTGGTGATTGAAAACTAATGAATTAGAGTGATATTATCCACACCTCTCTTTATCTTTCACACATTTCTCTTAATTTTTGATTGTCGGATCGAATAAAATTGAATAAGACTAAAGACATAAATTAATAGACAGTGTGTGAGAGATAAAAAAAATTGTGAATTACACCACCCATGAATTATTCTTTGTTGCAACTTCAAGCGGTAGACAATCTAACAGTTGAAACAATGTAAAGGAGAGTTGAAAAGGTTTTTATGATTTTTTTATTTTAATGGAGAAGTGAAGAGATTCTTAGGTAATGATATGCTTATAAAATATGCTTATTGGATGGATGGAGAATATTACCTACTGGCAAGTAATGGAGACAGAGATCAACCGTCTTCAAAGTTGAGTTGAGAGTTGAAACTTCCACTTCACTTTAATAAATGGTGGTTGTTTCTATGTCCAAAGTTACCAACTTACCTAAGTCATTGTCAGCGTCAATGTTTGGTCTCCGATCATAGGAAATTTTGGTACACACCCATTCAAATCATCTACTTTTGAATTAAAGTACACTACATAATCTAGATGATAAGTACGTTAGTACATTTATAATCGTAAAAAGTTAAACATTTTGACACTCCACAATTACGGATAGGATAACCAAATAAAATATTTTAAGAGCAAGTTTGGAAAGTAAGAACGATTTTATCAACTAACTATACTTTTGTACGATAAATCTAGAACGTGCTTTATAAAACAAAACCATCAAATTTCGAACTAATCCGGCGGCCGAGAACTACGGTGTGAAACGGACGCCCACGTCCACAAAACACACAGCCAGACACGTGGCATGAGACACGAGTATCATGCTTCGACATGCAACAGTTTAGTAATGCCAAGTCTATGAATTGTCTTATTGAGACTTAAACCCATGGGGCATCTTTGTAACTTGTCATTAATTAGTAATTTTTCAAAATTTGATTTCGTACATCATGTGAATGATATAAACTAATGACACAGAATAATGGTTGAAGTCATTCTTGCCCTTGGCTATTGATGACTTCAAGTAGAGTTTGCTGGGGTTGTGAGTATGATTCCCATCATTGAACTTTGGTCTTCCATTCACTTAGTCAGCCACTCATTTTCTCTCTTTGAACTTCTATGAGTTCATTGTTGATCCTTCAGTTTTAGTCTTCTGCATAACAGAAGTGGAGCGCAACCTTTGCTTTTGAATGGTCCGTCAAAACATCATTTCTCAGTGACTCATCCATGCTTGGCAGCTTCAATGTAAAGAGCCTACAACGTGCCAACTATTATGCGACATTGATGACTTGAAACCTGGCTCCAACAATAGTTGAAGATGACTATTTAAGGGCAATGCAAGGTAAGAAATCAAGCAAAGTTCCAGGCAATCAGTTCCAAATCGGAAGTTTGATTTCAAGTTCTGACTGATTACATTATTTCTCATTGTCTTGCAGGTAAGAGCAAGGGAAAAGAAAAAGACAAGGAAAAAGCATGATATGAGATACTTTTGCTCTCGACCCTAATGATAGGAGATATTTTGCTCTTGAAGAAAAACAATAGAAGGATTTGATGTTCACTCGTTCAAAAATATTTTCTCGCTTAGTATTTTGAGGGGCTTTGTTGAAGAAGCATTCTTGGCAACGAAGAAGAGTTAGACAATTTTGGAGCTTTACCTTATCATGAGGGAATGAGGTCAACATATAGAGGGATTTCTTAATAACAAGTAGTGGTGTTGTTGGGACCATCTCTTTCACGCTTGTCGACAATCGTAGTGTAGTTGGAACAATAAAATTCACGCGTTCCAACTTTGCCAGAGATATTTTGATAGAGTTGTTCTTAATATCTAGAAAGCTGAGATTTTGTATGAGAAGTGCCAATGAACTTTATTCAAGAAAATCCAGCTTTTGCAATCCAAAGAGCGGTGTCTCTTTATTTTTTAACAAATGGTTGTGTTGCTTGTCACATCTCGGGCTCGACTCCATCATAGCACAATATTGTTTTCTTTGGGCCCCAACCACACCCTCACGGTTTTGTTTCTAGGAACTCACACGAGAACTTCCCAGTGGGTCACCCATCCTGGGATTGCTCTTGCGAGAACTCGCTTAACTTCGGAGTTCCGATGAAACCCGAAGCTAGTGAGCTCACAAAAGGCCTCGTGCTAGGTAGAGATGGGAATATACATATAAGGCTTACATTGCTCCTCCTTTTATAGAGGCATCAATTGTATCCAAAAGCATGTTCGAAAAGTTGCGCACTTTATCTGATCTCTTTTTCATTCATCATTTCTAAAAATGGCTTGCCCATTTGACCCTTGTTTTTGTTTAAATGTTGTGGAAGATGCTGACGTGCCTCTTTAGGACACTATATGGCGCTCATCCTTCTTATCCTATAATGGTCTTCTTACGGTTGGAGACTCTGTGATGAAGAATGATATGACTGCTACTGTAACACCCCGGCCCCGAAATATGTTTTATTTCGGAAAATAAGTATATTGGTGATAGGCCCGAACTA